GGTTTTTTGCCAATGCATCTTTGGAGATCCCGGGTTTTTCATAATGAAAAACGTTTTTGATCAAAAAGTTTTTTTGATCCGTACAAATGAAAGGGCATGCTCTAAAATCTACGCAAACCCATTTGCTAAGGTTTTGGAACGGTTTTGAACAGTTTTTAAAGGGTCAAAACTTACTACTATAGCCGAAAAAAAACTTTTTATTGCGCTACGCTTTAATAAATGAGATATGTGAAAAATAGGTAATCGAATGCGCTGATCCCAAAGATTACATTGATCTTTCGTTATTGCACTTGATTGTTTACATGCTGGCTTAAAACGCATGAAAATAGTTGAAATTGTCTTTTCAAAAGGCTCGATGATTCGTTCTTTCGTTTAACGTACGTGCTCTTTTTCGGCTGTAGTAGTAAGTTTTAACCCTTTAAAAACTGTTCAAAACCGTTCCAAAACCTTAGGAAATAGGTTTGCGTAGGTTTTAGAGCATGCCCTTTCATTTGTACGGATCAAAAAAACTTTTTGATCAAAAACGTTTTTCATTATGAAAACCCGGGATCTCCAAAGACGCATTGGCAAAAACCATCATCATATTCGGAATCAGCATACTCGGTTATCCATTGTCCACTAAGTTTTACGTCAAAAGCGATTTGACAGTCGGGCCTTCCATCGTAACTTTATCCATAGCAAGAGTACCGAGCATTTTCACTTGTAAAAGTCCTACGTTGAAATAATCATAGCCAAGAAGTTAAGCTTTCATTGTGTCTCACCCTACACCGGAAGGTTACGGGCACTACTACTACTACACGTAAAAGTTTGAGCTCAATTCAAATTTAGCCTTGTTGCATGCATAATGGAGGTTCCCAAATTTTATGCTGATCTCAAGTATTATACTCTGTTCGCACGACGAGAAAAATCGGATCGTCTAAAACAAGACTACTTTTGAGTTAAGCCAACCGGAGAACTAATCACAAGAAATGTCAGTAGGTTGCGCCTTTTCCATCCGCTTGAAAAATGTTTTCGCAGAACGTTCTAAATCGATATGCACCAGGTTGAGACTTTCGATTTCGAGCATCTCGGGCATCAAACAGCGTAACAATAGTAAATTTCGTTTTTGGCATCACTTGAAAATCTTTTTTTGCAAACGGTTGTAAGTGTTGATCACAAAGTGAGTAAAAACGTGGACATTAGGAAAAAGCCAAAGTGCGCTTTCACGAGATTCGAATAGGAGATCATATACTTGGTTGAGTAGCTTTGTGTAGCTAAAATATTTCTATCCAACTTATTATGTATTCTTGTTCTCTAGAAACCTCCAAGAATCACCAAAAAAGGCGAAAACATCTGCACTACTGGTTACAAATTAAAAAATATGTTCTGATTTCCGTTTGTCAAGATCGTCGATACTTTAGCAGCAGATGCACTACCACAATCACCCCACTAGACATCAACTGATTTAGTGCCCCAACAACATTTTGTCAAACTTTATTTTAAGCAAACGTAAGGGAAAACAGCGCTGAAAAGAAGCTTATCAACAATGACAATTAACCGCAAAGAGAAGAGTAAGAAGGCTAGACACTTCCTCTTGCGCTGAAATGAAGAGAAACAATAAAACATTCACGGATAGTATATTTCAGAACTAGCACCGGACGATCCTTGACCACCAGTGACAAGAACTATGCCCGAATTCAGCAGAGTTGCAGTATGGCTGAACCGTGTTGTTGCCATGCTTCCAGTAGTATTCCATTGGCCCGTTGATGGATCATATATTTCAGAACTAGCAAGATGATTGAACGACCCGAAACCACCGCTCACAAGAACGTTCCCCGAATTCAGCAGGGTTACAGTATGGGCGTCGCGTGCTGTTGCCATGCTTGCTGTAGTGTTCCATTGGCCCGTTCAAGAATCATATAGTTCAGAACTAGCAAGAGGACCGGAAGATCCGTCACCACCAGTGACAAGAACTTTGCCCGAATTCAGCAGAGTTGCAGTATGGCCGTAGCGTGTTGTTGCCATGCTTGCAGTAAGGTCCCAGTGACCTTAATGACGAAACGTTACGGCAGGCATTATACTATTCTACCTGTACTGATATTAACCAACTTCAACTCAAAAATCACCCCATTAACCGTTACTCTCCTAAATTCGAAAGCTAATGCTTGAGTTTAAAAATAGTAAATAAAACTCATTACTTGTTATTACTGTTGAAGTAACCACTGTTGATGAGGTCGGTATTTGTTCTAAATGTCAAAATAAACGCTGTAGAATCATGACCTGGTCTTGAGAACGGTTCATTCACGTGGAATCTTTTAGATGGTAGTAATTGAAAATAAATCAGTGTACAAACTCACCACATAAATAAGATGAAGAACATGTAAGATTTTTATTAGTTCTACACCATTCATCATTCTGACATGATGCACCGTCGTATCCTTCATTTAAACACATATATCCATTCCAATATGTATGTGGGAGACATTGACAAGTATTATTAATACATAATAAATATCGATTTACTTGACATCGATCACATGTTTGGTAATAGGCTAAATAAAGTTGTTGTGTATATGCAATACTACTTACTCTTGATGTTGGTGGGATAGATGCTGATCTATTCACTTGACCAGTTGTTATTTCACCTTCAAATAGTCGACATCGTTTAGATAATGTATCATAATCGAATGTCCGACACAAGGAATTCATATTACATGTTTGTGCACAACGGATTTCTGATGATACCCAGATTGTATTTATTTCCCAATGGTGAGAATTGAGTTTTTCATTATCTCACTGAATTAGAATCATTAGTGATAGAGGAAATAGCAGTCACTCGTTCACTTTGACAATCTATTAGTCTCATTACTTTTATACCCTTCATATAAATAGTCGCTCATTTCTTACTCTTTCTCAAATCATCTTCTTTTTCCTTTTGTCTCGTTAAATGTTACCACGCGAATAGAGACTATAGCATTCTCTGTCGATATTAACAACAAAACGGTCAAACAAGTAACTACTATTTCTGTCATCTATTGATTGGTTGTGTGGAGAATGAACGACACCGACACTATTTCGGAGAAGCTTGAGCGAGCACAGATGATTCTATTGCCTAGTCTGAGCGCATTAGACGTGATTAAAAATGTACTCAATATAATAACTTTGTCTTCTCGATCTCTGCGCCCATTCTCATGCACTCAATATTTTCTTGCGTTGAGTGTCGCTCAACTCGTGGATTCCAACATGGGACCTATTAACGAAGTTTTCTTCGGAGTGTTCCAGTCATCCAACGCACTAGTCACTGCAGCTAGTTGTAAGCTGATTCAGTTCATCGCCATCTTGCCCCCGTTTGAATCAAACGGTCTGATTATTCTCGCATCGGTGGATCGTTCGTGACACGACATTACCGCGAGACAATACCGCGAGCGACATTACCGCGAGACAATACCGCAAGCGACATTACCGCGAATACAAAAAACGACATTACAGTGAACGACGTTACCGCGAAGACTCGTTTATTGGAAAAGAAGAATAAATGAGCCTGATTTTGTACTTTGTATATCATGTGGAGAGAGGTGGGAGGTGGGGGGAGGGCATTGTGAGAGTGAGTTCGAAAAGTATTTTCACATAAAACTTATTATCGTAATGGGAAACTAGATATCTGTGGCTGTATCAGATAATGACTAGTCACCACATAACGTCAGTTAAGTTTGAAAACATGATGTACAAAATACAAAACCGGCCTCATTTATTCGGCTTTTCCAACAAACAAGTCTTCGCGGTAATGTCGTTTTTTGTGTTCGCGGTAATGTCGTTCGCGGTAATGTCGCTGTTTCGGTGGATCGTTTCTGTGCATCGTCGTTATCGGTTAGTCTTCGCTCACTATGTAAAGTCTCTGTGGCTTATCGATCAATCGGTGTTCCTTCACTCATATCGATCATGTATATGAGTGGATTTCTCGTCGTGATGGATGTTTCACATCTCCCCGATAGCGTTATTTGCATTGAGTCGACAGAATCGTGCGCACAAACGTATGTGCTAAGTGTAATGCTTTTCATTACCATTATAATACCCTCTTTTATGCTTCTCTTCGGTTTACTGACAATTTACAATGTTCGAGAGCAACAACGTCGTATTGGTCCATCGTCTAACCAAAATCGTCGTACGGACACCCAGTTGGCTGGCATGCTTATTGCCCAAGTAAGTGCTATAATCATATTTACTGGCCCATTCTGTATTGTGTTTCTTATGTCTACGTTCATGTCCGAAGAACAAGCAGAAAATGCTTCGATTGGATTGGCTCTAACAGTCACTGACCTGTGGTAAACCGTTTCTAATTCCGCATCATTCTTCTTGTACACACTCACGGGAAGCTTATATCGAAAAGAACTGATTAATATCCTCCGCAAATGCTACAATTGTATGCGACGACAGTAAAAACTGATGACCATTTCTAACTATTCATTTTCATATATAACTGAACTTCTTTGCATCAACAACTTCAACAAGTGACATAATTAACTTACATTTCTATTAATCTTTCCGATCTTGTCTTTTGTTTTCTCGTCCTTGTAGACAACATACTTGTTGATCAACTTGTTCTCATTCTTTCTAATACAATGCCCGGCAAAGCTCAACTGTCTGCGTTGAATCTGTAAAACAAGGGAGTCAAGGCCGATCATCTTGTATAGCTCTGCGTTATGTTTCTTATCCAAGCGTTTGATGTTAAGCATGACTCTGTAGTGGTTGGTCGTGTAGCTGTTTAGGCGTCTCTTGACCTTGTCTGTAATGATCCAGCTCTCACAGCCGAAGTTATTTCAATGAAAATGATGTGGGTTTGTTAAGTCAAGTATACCTATCTCAGATGTGAAACAATTAGCGGCTTCGGCTGCGACAGTAAAAACTTATAGCCAAAACACTTCTCGAAAAATTGACACATATGCTTCGCTATACAGATTTTTCCTTAAGAAGTTTTTTTGTGAACTTTTCCGAAGTATGAGTTTCTTTTGTCGAAATATTTCCTTTTTTTAAGATATGTCGTTCATTAAAAAGCATACTACCTACGTATATTTTGAGAAGAGTTGGTTTAAAACTGACATGAGTTTTTTTTGAATGAAAATAACGCATTACTTATTGAGCAACAAAAAGGAAGTTTTTTAATGTTTATGACCATGTACAAAAAAATGGTTGAAGCAAAGAATACGCCGACAATGGCTGCAACAAATGAAAGGACAGTCATTACAGGCTGACATAGAACAGAAAAATTCTTCAAAAGAAAAACAAACATCATGATGACCACGATCTTTTGATGCATAGCCACTTGAATACCAAGCTTATTTAATCAACAGTAAGAATGTTTCAGCTGCTAGTTGATTATGTATCAAAGAATGCATTTTTAAAATAGAGTTTCTAGAACAAATGTCCATATCTATTTGATCAATGGCCACGCGATCATAAATTTTTTGTTTAAAATATTTCCACTGTCGAAAAAAATAACGATTCAACGGTTGAATATCACCAGTTGTTTTTAGTGGAATTTGCATCACCGGAAAAAAACGCGTTTTGTCATAGAAGAAGGAAAAACGGCCAGACCGTTTTTTCTAACTTTTTCATTATTGGCTGGAAAACGATAAAACTTAATCCCTCTAGGCTTCTGGACGTCAGGAATT